TGTTTGGGGACCATTGTGAGGGATGAACCTGAGCTAAAAGGCCATCGATCATGTGACCTCCTTAAGTTTCTGCTCCAACCGGTGGACCACAGTGATGTTCTGGGTCCCCAGAATTGATGTCAGTGTGCAGCCAGCGTTGGGTAACCCCCAGATTACTTCCTTCTCCCAAGGACACAGTGGCCTGGTAAAAAGGTATGGGCTCCTCAGGGGGAAGGCTGGGAGATAAACTACCAGACACATTTTTTTCTAGGGGAGCAGGTAGTTCCTCAAGGGGACCCAGTGCCCTTCATCCAAGGAGTTCTGAGTCTGTGAGCTGGCTCAGAACAGTCTGGGAGTTGATGGAGGAGGCATAATTCTCTGCTTTGGTGATTCAAGTGAGACTGCCATTCACTCGACCAAGGACTTGTCCGCTTATCCAGATCCAATAAGACTTGAGTGGACTGTCTGTTTCTTTCTTTCCAAGGGACAAATACCGTGAGCAGCCAGCCAACACCCAGTTCTCTGCCAGTCAGACCATTCTGATTTCTGTTTTGGTGCTGCTGTCCGTTGTGGTGACCACGGCCACCATGTCTTTGGTGATTAAGTGCCACTTGGTCCCCGCCGCTCTGGGACCTGTTCTCCCATTGCATTTAGGGACACGGTCAAGTGGCACAATTTCCCACCATGCTTTCTGGCCTCCAGAGAGGAGTGACCCAGAGCTCTGCAATGGTGCCAGGCCCCCTCCCTTATTTATTCCTCACGGTCGTGGGGGAGCTGTGACCTCTCGACCCTCCCAGGATGGGCGGGTGATCTTGGGTTACTCATCCCCTCTAACCTCCCTGATACCCGAGCCTTTGACAGTCTCCCTGTGCTGTGTTCCAAGGCCGTTCTGGCAGGTCAGTGTCATTCACTGTAGACCAGCTTTTGGCCCATGTCTCAGCCAATTGCCAACCAAACCCTCACTCCTCGTGCTGAATCCATATTCCACAGCCTCTGTCTACGGGCCTGTGGTAGCACGTTCTGATCCAGCTCTCTGTCCCGTCCATCATGATTCCGCACCCTCACCATCCATTTGCACCCTCCTCCCCAGATACGTGTTTGCATCAGCTGGAGAAGCCACGCCCTTCTTTTGGTGTACGGCGCACCTCCTCGCACGTCACTCCTGGAGGCCTGCTGGGGCTTGAGCCGGGTTACAGGACTAGGAGGCGGACGAGTGGGGACGGAGCCAGTCCTGAGTAGAGTCGGCCGGTGTCCTTCAAGGTAAGTACCTCAGGGGGGCGCCCACAGGCCTTCAGACGAAGGGTTCACTTCCTGAGGAGCAGGTGCAAAGGCTGCTTCTGCGCACCTGGGAGCTCTCCCTCGTCAGCCTGCAGGTGCGTGGCTTCTCATCTCCCTTTTGGCTGTGCAGAGGATATTCACCTCCATCGTTATTATGTACAATGTCACTTCTAACTTGGAGTGCCCAGTGAGGTCCTTGTTCCCCCAGCCCCTTCACGGCAGACCTGGCCACACACCCCCTTTAGGCACATCGCCCTACTGAAGACCCCCGAGGTCCTCCAGTGAAGAAACCTATGAACCTGGCTGAACCCAAACTTGTATGACCATGAACTCATTTGGGGGAGCGTTTCTCCTATAGAAGTAAGACTTTAAAAAGAATCTTGGAGAATGCAGACTTTAATAAGCAGCTATGGCCTGAGCTGAAATTTGTTTGTTGTTGTTGTTCATTCTTAGCTATTTAATTGTTGCTTAATAATGAAGATCCAGCCCTGACTGTGTGGCTCAATGGATTGGGCCCCACAAACCGAAAGGTCACCAGTTTCATTGCCACTCAGGACATATGCCTGGGTTGAGGGTCAGGTGCCTGGTTGGGTGTGTGAGAGGAACAGCTGATCAATCAATGTTTCTCTCTCTTTCTCCCTCCCTTCCTCTCTCTCTAAAATAAGTAAAATCTTGCCCTGGCTGGTGTAGCTCAGTGGATTGAGCGCGGGCCTGCAAACCACACGATCGTGGTTCAGTTCCCAGTCAGGGCACATGCCTGGGTTGCAGGACAGTTCCCAGCAGGGGACGCAGGAGAGGCAACCATACATCGATATTTCTCTCCTTCTCTCCTTCCCTTCCCCTCTAAAGATAAATAAAAATCTTTAAAAAACAATAAAATAATAAAATAAGTAAAATCTTTAAAAAAATTAATGAAGATCCAAACCAATATTTTCCTAAGTGTTAATAGAACGCAGTACATTACTGCATCAGTAACTGTTGTGGAAGCTTCGACATTTCTGCCACGGTCCCTACCCCCCCACCCGTGCCCCCCCCACACCATCAGCATCTTAGGTATTAACCGTTTGCTGTCCAGAGGGCCCCCCTCTGTCCTAGTGGGGCTCAGGCCAATCTTGTCAGCTGTCCTCAGGAGCACCTTCCTGGACCTATTTTGGGCCCATGGAATCTGGAATTTAATCCTCACGCCCTGACATCCTGGGGAGAGAGGCCTCACTCCAGTAGCAATGAGACAGGTGCCGGCAGCCGCCTGGGGTGGCGGGCCCCTCACCAAATGGTGGTGCCCTCCTCTGAAACGAATTAGCCTTTTCCACCCGAGACGGTGAAAGGGCCTAGGCATGGCTGAGATTCGGAGATGTGTTTTTGTGAAGGGAAGGGAAGTGATTTTGTCCTAGTCGTTTGAGTGGGCGAGAGAACGAGAGTGTGTTCTAAATGGGTCACAGAAAGTTGTGGAAAGCCAATGAAAACGGGAAGTTTTACCTGAGGTCAGGCTGAGTGAGGCTGAAGGAAATTTTAAAAGGGAAGCCCAATATCAAAAGCCAGCCGATGCAAACGTGTGGTGTCTCCCGCTGTTAGAGGACTGTTGGCCTGCTACGGACCCTATGAAAAGGTTTTCTGCCCAGAAAGCAAAGATTCTGCGTTTTATCAAACAAATTTTCTGTTTTATATTGTCTTCATCATGTCCTTAACTGCTTAACAATCTCAACGGTAAGAACTGAGTCATGAGAACATTTATGCAAACTTCTGTATTTGTGTATGAAGTCTCTTGCTGCTTTGGTTAAATGATTAAGTATTGCTTCATATTGACTTACGATCTTCTTAGTCAAATGTCCAAACCTTCTGACATATTTGGACAAACTTCTTAAAATTTAGATTATAAATAGAGTCTTAACCTGGAAATAACCTGGAGGTATTTCAGAAGATGGGACATCTCAGGAGATTTGTCTTCTGCCCTCACTAAAGAGAGGTACCAAAATAATTAGGTATACTTAATATGCTAGAATTACACAAGAAGCTTTGTAAAATAATAAAAGATTTTATTTACTATTAGAGAGGGGAAGGGAGGGAGAGAAACATCAATGTGTGGTTGTCTCTTGCACCCCCTCACTGGGGACCTCACTCGCAACCCAGGCATGTGCCCTGATTGGGAATTGAAATGGAGACCCTTTGGTTTGCAGGCCTGGGCTGAATCCACTGAGCCACACCAGCCAGGGCTGTCTTGTACTGATGTGCCAAGTATTCCAGAAATCTATGTGGAATTCCTGAAAATCTGAGATGCCCAGAGGCCCTTCTGAAATACCTCAAGGTTAAGACAACTAGACACTCCAGCCACCTGCCATCAGAACTCAGGAACTGAGGTTACAGTCCACCCCAGTGATTAACCTTCAATTTCCTTGTGTTGCCATAGAGATGCTTCCTAGGAACCACCTGATGGCTGCTCCGCAGGCTTCAGTGTGGGAGCCCATCAGCATCACGGCCTCCAGGAATGAGGCCCCGCTCTCACCAGACCAAACCCTTCTCAAGACTGAGCCTGGTTTAACAAAGAACAGGACAGTCTACCCCCCAAATTCTGGAACGCAAAACTTCCGGGCAAGTTTCCCGGGAGAGCCCCACGGGGGTTCGGTGCTGGCCGCCCCGAGACGTGCCTGTGTAGTCTGCTGGCCGTTCCGAGCCAAAGGCGACTCCAGCTGCAGCTCAAGAGATACTTCCACCCGCCCCACCTTAGATACCGAGAGGAACTTGAGTTGGGGCCCTTGCCCATAATAAGAGGTTATCAGAAAGAACTTTTGACCTTTCTCTAGGGGGCCAAACTTCCATTTATAACACCAAAACTCATCTGTTCTTATCATCCTGCAGTGGCCCTTTGAAGCCCCCATCCCCCCAGGGTGTATGATGACCCCATCTCTAGCTCAGGATGTTTCGTGTGCCTCAGTCCCCGTCTTTGAGCCTCTCCTGCATGTGGGAATGTGAGGTCTCTGTGACCTTTTGGTTTGCAGGCCAGCGCTCAGTCCACTGAGCCATACCAGCCAGGGTAAAGCCAGGGCTATTCAAATCAGGAAATGGGCACAAACATAAGTATTGGGTTAGCCAGAGAGTTCGTTTGGTTTTTCCTGTACAATGGCTCTAGTAGCACTTAGTTGTCTTTCTCTTCACTCAAAACAACTTTGTTAGATTGTATTGTGACAGCTGTCATATCAGTGTGCATTTAAAAACACTTATGAAAGTTGGTGAATTTTTGTGCAACCATTTTAATATTAAGGATGAAGAAAATATGCAACATTTTCAGCCTCATATGCTGAAAATGAACTGAAGTGCAAACAAAGATTTGTGCGGTGTGGGGAGAAGGTGCTGTGACTGATCAAACGTCAAAAGTCATTTGCAGAGTTTCTTGGTACTATCGATATTTTGGCAAATAACTTTGCTGTGGGGCTGTCTTATGCATTAGATGTTTAGCAGCACCCTGGCCTCTACCCACTAGAAGCCAATAGCAGGAGATAGCCGACATTCTCAAAATATCCAAATCAGTAAGGTAATTGCTGAAAATAAAAAGCATGTGTTTTGTTTTACAGAAAAGAACTAAATGGACTGTTTGGCCAACCCAATATATTCCTAGTAAATTAAACCATTCACGGCCTTACCTGGTCGCACTTCGTTAGCACCAACATCCTGTTATAAAAAGCAGCATCTTGGCTGTGGGCACCGAGTGACAACAGGCCCGGAATAAACGCTGAGAGTCTCCGCCAGGATCATTCATAGTAAAACTTTATTGAACAAAAACCCCAGCAGAGGCGTCCACCTCTGCCAAGTCCCCCTTGGTTTAAAGTAAAGCAGTGCATTTTAAAAAGCAGTTATACAGAAGTCTTTCCTAGAAAAGTCCTGCTAAAACATGTCTAGCAATTTCATTGATTATATAAAGTAGTACACTTAGTGTAATTTGAACATTCCAACAGGAATCGAATCGTCCCAGCAGAGCCGCGTCTGCCTCTACGACGTCTACGCACAGACGCACACGCAGACACGCACGTGCGGACAGGCCCTCAGGCACACGCATGCGACACGAACGCCCCCTATGTACAACGCCTACGAAACTACGCACAGTATGTATGAAAGCTCTTCAAAATAAAGACATGAGAAGCCGCGGCACGGTTTTGTTCAGCAATTTGTATCATGGCTTCACGTCTCTCCTGCTTTTGCTCAGCACAAAAGCACAGCGTCCTCCTGTTGACTGTTTTCCCGATCCCACGCCCCTGCCACGTCCAGGTGAGGAAGTCTGGCTGGAGTCCAGCGACCCCGCCCCTGTGTGTCCAAGCCTCCGGTAGCCTGAGAGCAAACAGCATCAGTTTGCTATGGCCGGTGGGCCTTCCGGAAGGAGAGAGGCAAAGAAAGTCTTGAAGACGAGCCATGCTGTGCTCATAAACGACGGGCTGGTCTGCTGGCCACCCGGTACGTCCCTGTCTGGCAGGAGGTGGTTGGGGTCTTCACGTTCAGGATCGGGCCCTTCCTACAGTGAGAAAACAGGCCCGTGATGAACACCAAAGACACGGGGCGATGGCAGAGGAAATGCTGCGTCCCTCTCGCCACCGGCAAAGCAGCCAGGCCAGCAGGACCCCAGGGAACAGTCTGCTGGCTGGCATTTTCTGGGCTCTCCGCAGCGCAGCCGCACTGGCGACATGCTCGGAGCTCTGTTCCCAGCAGCAAGTATCAGAACAAATCAAATGACCAGACCTCCTGCTATTAAATAAGTCGTTAGGTTAACCTCTTCAGTAAATATGGACATTAATTCACATTGCCGGAAGTAGAAGAAACTAAAAACGGAAACCCAGCGTTCTAAAACAGACACTAGGGTGCCAAATTTATATTATAAAAGAATATCTTTTAGGGTTGTGCATTAAAGTGCCTAATAAAAATTCTGTTTCTCTGGGTTGTTATTTTTCAGAAAACCAACTCCGAGGACATGACTGTGCTCTCAATCCTTCATTGGGGTTAACTACCCACCAGCACTCTCTGCGGTGTAACCAACACCTCGGTACAGACCACAGAAACTCCAGATTGGGAGCTTAAAAAGTTTATTTAAATATTCCCAAATGCAAACCACCATATGACAAAACACTTGATAGATGCTATGACCTACTTATTGTTTTAGAAACAGCTACTGTTCTAAGAATAAACGGGAAAACGCCTTGAGACAGACAGCCTCAACCTGGTACTGACAGGGGAAGACCTTGAGGCCCGACACCTCACGCCCCACCACAGCTTCCTACCTGTAAGTTATTGTTGGGGTCCTGGCGGGCAGCTTCCTGAAGGGGCCCCTCATTTGGGAAGTTCTGGGCCAGCCTCTGTCTAAACGGAAACCAGCCGACATGATGCCTACAGGGGAAGCACACAAAGTCCATCTCAGCTAACTCCACAGTGAGATTTACACACGAGTTTAAGGCCTCTCATCAGATAAGGTCCCCCGCCCTCCCCCCTCACCAGAAGCACCCCAGGCAGAAGCTCACTGCAAGGCCCACGGCGGAGACATTCTGTCTACCATCCCCTAGACTCTCCCGCTGGCCCACCAGGGGCTTAAAGGCGGGGCCTGTGATCATTCACCATTGTACACCCAGCAACCTAAACGGCCGGCACATAGCACGTGCTCAGTAAGTGCCAGAGTTACCCCCGGGAAGGGCGATTTGGACTCGGGGGAGAAAAGGAGAGCGAACCCTCTGCTTACAGGTACATAACCACAGTGGCTCCCATGACCATGAGGAATCTGCTCAGGGAGGAGTAGAAGTAGAGGATGCTGAGGAAGACGGAAAACGTGGCTGCTGAGTAGGTCCAGTCCAACCAGTCGCGGTTGATCTCATCATCTTCTTCCACGAGGGGGCCGCCCTGGGCATTCATCCGTAGGTTCTGATTGGCCCCAGGATTAACCACCACTGGAGCAGGATTCTGATTGGCTGGCTGGTTTTCTGCCGGAAACTGGTTGTGAATAGGGGCCGGAGCAGGTGCGGGGACCACGGGTATCTCTTGTGCACTTGGTGAGGGAACAAAAGTCCTCGATGCAGCAGTGGCCGCTAAACTGAAACAGAAATGGCAGAGGCAGACACCGTTGAGAGCAAAGTACAGTGAAGACTGTGGTTCTCACCTCCTTATTGACGCAGGGGTCCTTTACTGTGGAGAACTGTGAGCAGGTACATACACACTGAATCTTTTCTTTCCCATAGTGAAGAGCTTCTTCACTAGCAGTCACACCTAAACACGACTTTCCTGCTTTTAGAAGGAGCAACATGATAGATTTTGTCTGGAATGAAGCATCCAGGTCGCTATGAGAGCATGGTGTCGTAGCAAATTAAAATGTTCTCCAAACATTAAAGACACCCCATACTGAAAAGAATGTGACATATTCCACGTGAAGTCACCAGACCACGCGTTGGACAGTGGCACCGCTGCGTCAACACGCAGACCCACTGGCAGGCAGCACTTACACGCTACTCTGCCCACAGTACCGCAGAGCCGGGGAGCACCCCCTACACTACAGGTCACCGGTGGGGCCTCCCCCCAACCCGGAGCGCCCCCACCGCTCCCCGGCAGGCAGGGAAGCACTCACTACTGCATGTAGTACTGCCGGGCGTACACCTGCTGGAACCAGGAGAGCTGGAGCCACCCGTAGGTCGCGTAGCCCGAGAAACCGGGCCCCAGGCCTTGGAATGCCAGCTGGGCAGCTTCCGGCCTAGGAGAGATGGTTTTAAAGGACACTTTGAGTTGGTTTTAGTACAGGTGAGTGAGAACTGAGTTCTAACAGCTGTGTAACTCGAGCACGGAAAGGGCTGGCTGACTAGCCCTCCTACGTGGTCCCCAGGGAACACGAGGGTCCAGCACTGGGCGGTCACCATCACCGCGCCACCACTGCGACGTACAAACAAGCTGGACCTCCGCGGGCTAAGTGGACTCCCACCCCCTCTGATGACTTGCCGAGTCTCACTGCAGGTCTAAACCCACTGTTCATCCTTTACAAAGCAGCTCCCAAAGGCCCCCTCCTCCCAATATTCTGTACTTCTCCCTGGCCTCTAGACCTGACTCTGCATGGGGGGCAGTGACGTGTGCGTGTGGCCTCGCCTGAGCGTGCTCGCTGACCTCCTGTGCTCTGTACAGGCTGCTGGGCTGACCCCCAACAACCTGGAGGGGAGGGAGCTCTCCTCAGCTTTAGAGAGAAGAGCCCCCAAGTGCAGCTTGGGGAAGACAAGAGACTTATTTGCACAAGGTAGCACTGAGCTAGGAAGGAGCGGGGCTGGATTTGAGAGCTGTTTATTTGACACCAAACCCACTTTTCTATCACGCAACACAGCCTTAAACTGCCCAGGCCAGCACATGGGGGTCACTGGTGGTCTTGTGAGCTGCACACGGTGAGCTCTGCTTCACATAACAGAAACTAGGAGAACTGCAGAAGACCAGGAGGTGGCGAAGTGGTCATCTCTGCTGGGCAACTCATTTCTTCCTTAAAGTCACATCGCTGGCTGCTCAGCACATACTTGCTGAATGGAATCAAGTTTCACTCCAGTGGCTCCCGACAGTCAGATGTGGGCCTCCGTGCTCAAGTGGCACGGTCGGGATAAACAAGCTGTTTCACCTGTTTCTATCCTATTCAGTTTACATGCTGACCGTCTTCTAACCAAATTCCATTCCCGGAGTATTTCCCGTACCAGTAGGTCTTGGTGTGATGCAGTTTTTAATCACTTAAAAAACTACAGTGCATGGAATTGAGGGGAGAGTGAAATGCTTTTGTTGGCTGATGATGATGGCACTGCAGATACATAAGTGACCAAGAGGTTTCCACAATGGCCCTGGCTGGTGTGGCTCAGTGGATTGGGCGCCGGCCTGTGAACCAAAGGCTGCTGGTTTGATCCCTGGCCGGAGCACGCGCCTGGATTATGAGCCAGGTCCTAGGTTGGGGGTATGTGAACCAATATTTGGATGAACTAAAAAACTCCTCCTTCTGCACACACCTGGATTTATTAACAATCCCATATTAGAAAATGAGGGCAAAGGGGTTGGGGAGTCACAAAATTCCAACCCGTTGTGAATACATTATGTTTTCCCATAGGAGCAGTTATAGCAAGGTGTTCTGAGAGCTACGAGATCCTAGTGTTGGGCCTTCATCACTTCTGGCTTTTGCTTTTTGCTTTAAAGGAAAAAACACTAATCACTCTGCAGAAAATGGCCTTTTCCCCTGGTACCTTGGCAGAGCATTGCTTAAAAGAGTCCCCTCCCCGTTTGTCAGCCAGTGTTATGACAAGCCACCCAGCAAGGCAGCCGCACTAATCTCCCACCCCGAGGTCAGCGCGTGCCAAGCACAGCCAGGGAGGAGGGGAAATGCCTCAGCACAAGTCTCCACTTTCTGGTACGTTCCCAAGAGGCTGGGTAGCGAGAAGAGTTAACATAAAAGACCTTTAAAGTGAAACCCCTTGTATATTTTGAAGTTCCGCGACAACACCACATAAACTTAAGAGCTTGTTCTTAAATCGATGCAAATGGTGCGTGTTCATGTGTACAAACCGGTTCTGGACTGTGAGGCTCACCTGGAGATGTTCTCCCATCCGGAGGGAGGAAGGTGCCGAGGAGCCTCCCTCGGCCTTAACCCTTCACCGGAGGCGTCCCCAGGGTGCTGTCCCTGATGAGGACCAGCGGGCTGCTCTGCGGATTCAGCCACCTAAGTAAAGGGACCGTGAACGTGAGAACAAAGGGTCTGATGCAACTCACGGAAACCGAGCTAAGAGGGTGGTTTTGCTGTCAAGGGCTCACGTGCCCCGCCCGGACCTCTGAACGTGCTAAGACTAAACAGACACAATGTCACACAAAAAAATTCCGAAATTTGTTCAGCACGATTTCAATACGCATTTCAATATACATATTTCATTCATAGTTTTTTCTATAGTAACGACACTGTACTTTCATTAAAACTTTCCAATGGAGTTATCACTGCTGAGAAGCGTCTTAATAATTAATGCGCTGTGTATCTTATGGCTACCTTTCCTGAATCAAGAAATTAATTTGACCACCCTGATCTCCAAATGTAGCTCAACCAGCAAGCTTGTCACAGAGGACAGGGTGCCTGGAACTCCACCCGCCTACCCCAACAACGGTGGGATTACTGTCTACTGCTGTCAGTAGAGACAGTAAACCCTCACTTGTGTTGGTAACGGTTTCTAACCCTAACTCTTGCTGGGGAAGAAACAAAACACAGCGCCAAAAAGGCCATCGAACCTCCCCTGAGAGTTCCATCCCACTTCCTTCGTTCCCACCCGGAGAGCCCAAGGCACACGGGCCCTCGCGCTCACGACAAAGCGGACGCACCCCTGCGCTGGTCTCCGGTGTTTTCGAAGGACTCTTCACTTTGCACACCAGATGCAGGACGTGCCGGGCTTCCTGCTGAAGGCAACGCAGAGGTATGTTAGGACCTGAATGCAGCCTGGCGAGAACTTGAAAGGGTTCCAAAGTTGATCCGTACAAGTACAAGACGTACCTTTGGAAGCAGGTCCCTGAGGCACTGGTTATCCAACAGCAGCTTCCCAGAGTAAATTAACCTCTGGTCCTCTGGACGCTGCCCACGGAAAGAAAGGGAAGCAGAGTCGGCACTTCGTCCCAAACACAGAAGACTGTTTCATCCAATTAATTTAAATGTTTTCCCACCCAGCACCACAGGCAAACATTTCTTTGAAGGCCCATATACAAACTTTTATTTAGAAAGTGCTAAAGTTCATACCAGTCTCTAACACATAAATAGACTTAGGATGGCAAATGATCCCCACACCCCCAGACCTGCAGTGACCTACTGACTCTCAGGAAAACTGCCTCCTGCCACTAAAAACACAGATATGATGGGGGGCTCCTAGAGCCCCTAACAGATGTGATGGGGGCTCCTACAGCACCCAACTCTAAAACTTGGGTTTAGGTTCAGAGGAAACGCAAAGCACTCCCAGAGTCAGCCTCCCCCCAAACCACCTACCACTGTCCCAAAATAACATGAAGCAGTTCTAGACGGAGGCCCTGGAAGAGATATCCCACAACCGCCCTGTGAGACGTGGCGTTGCTGAAACGGGCCCGCCCAAGGCCACTACCTGCGCAAGTCCAGATTCCAGCCCCTCTTCCCCATTCCAGTGATTTTAAAGCCACAGGGACTCCATGTACTTTTATACAAATCTCCCTTTTGAAATTCTATTTCTAATTCCTCTTTTAAAATATTTTATTTACTTATTCTTAGAGAGAGAGGAAGGGAAGGAGAAAGAGAGGGAGAGAAACAGCAGTGTGTGATTGCCTCTCATGTGTTCCCTAATGGGGACCTGGCCTGCAACCCTGGCATGTGCCCTCACTGGGAATCGAACCAGCGACCCTTTGCTTCACAGGCCCATGCTCAAGCCACTGAGCGACACCAGCCAGGTCTAATTCCTTTTAAAAACTGTGCTTAAAGACAGTGGCCTCAACTATGGAAGTCAGGACACTGGAGATCCCCCACCGAGTGTGCTGGCCTGCTGTTGCCATGACAACCAATAATGCAAAACTTGGAATCCAGCTGCTCCTGCCAAGTAGCCCAAGATTATAAAGCAAGCAGTTTAAAACAAAACAATAACCACGCATTCACCAGCATAAACCCGATTTTTCCCAACTGCGCAACAAAAACAAACTGCAGAACTAAGTCCGATGCTGTGCTCACCACTGTTGCCAGTGGTCGATTTTATCAGCAAATGTTATCTCTGCACGTGACTTGGGGGGGGTGGGCCCTGCATCATAGGAAAACGTTCTATGGAGAAGGTTTGAAAACCACAGCTGTCTGCCATTTAAATTGTTTTCCCCATTAAAGGCCTAAATTGACACTCTTGCGTTTTCATCCAGGCTGAATTCGATAGAAAATTAAATGTTAAGCAAACTATCATAAAGTAAGGCTTCTCACATTAAAAAAAAAAACACACAAATGAGTACTCTCCTGCCATAATTTTTAAACCCAAATTTGCATATCCCATTATTGACAACCTGTGGGTCTTCACAGGAGTAATGCTCCTCCCCCAAGGAGAGCTCTCCTCCAGAACATGGCCTCTTTTCAAATGATGCAACCGGGGAGGACACAGGCTTCGCCAATTTGTGTGTACCTGACAGCCATTCGCACAGCAACACCTGCTGTTTGGGTAAAACTGCAGAGTTCCCAGGTGAATGCATATTAACAAGCAAATTTCAAAAGAACTCAGAAGGAAAACTCTTCCACACGTGCCACTGAACAAACATGAAACAAACACCCTGACCCCTGAGCCACCACACACGCTGAAATTTCTCAGATAAAACGGAACAAATTCACAGCCCTTTCCCGCCCTGATGCCCTCTCCCGTCTGGTGGAGAATTACACTCGTGGGCAGTGGAGAACACTGCTGACACTTACATAATGTGAGAGTGGAAAGTAAATACAGGAAGGTCCAACTCACAGCCTCGGTCACGTGGGAGGGAGGGCGGTGAGAAGGGTGATATTGACAGATGTGTCAACCAAAACAAAGCGAGGAAGTCTCTGGAGTTGAGGCACCAAAGCCTTAAACCCACAATCAAGGAGACTCCTTCCGCCTGGGTCCCTTCTAACTCCCTCTTTATCAGAAAGTGCGAGGGCTCCTCCCCCGGCCTCAGCAAGGGCTGGTCGAGTCAAGCGTGGCAGGGAGGGGCCGTGGCGGGAGGCGGACAGGGAGAGGAAGAGCCACGTCTGGCTCGGGGTGTGGGACCTTAAGTACACACTGCCTGGGAGAGCACCCTGTTTCTCTACCCAGTGGCCTTGGGGTTGGCACCTGCCCTCTCCTCTCCGCAGCGAGACGCTAGCTGCATTCAAAAAAGTCTTTTTTTTTTTTGCCGCATTTTTCTTAGTTCTATCCAGTAGAGGCAATCTTAATGTGGTACACTTAGCCAGCCGCCCTGTCGTTTGGGGGGAAACGGAGGCTTGAAGGGTGAACTGACTCGCCCAAGGTCAAACTGCTGTTTCAGTGTCTTGGCTAAGGCTGGCCACCAGATCTAGGGGGCGGGAAAGGGGGTCTGGGGAGGTGGGGCAAGAGGGTGACAGCCGTGGGGATTGAGGAAGAGGAGAGGAGGAAGATGGGGGAAGGCAGCCCATCAGGAAGGCGGGGCAATGGTGGCCTAGGACCAGGAAGTGACAGCCACAGGGCTAGGAGAGGGGATGTCTTCGGAGGTCGGGAGGGAAAGGGAGACCACAGCCCTGCGCGAGGTGACCGGGTGTGTACCTAAGACCGGGGGAAGGCGGACGAAGGGAGAGGCTACAGGGAAGGGGGAGGCGGACGTGGCTTCCCTAGGGGCACGCGAGGAGGCCGGGGTTAGGGAGCGCTGGCGTCCAGGCCCCTCTTACCGGGCGCTCGGGGTAGACGCGGCTCAGGTGGGCCTTGAGGTGGCCCACGCTCCAGCTGCGGTCGCCGCTCAGCTCCAAGTCGCGGTGGCGCTGGTTGGGGCTCTTCACCAGCAGCGTGACGGGTTCGGGCTCGACCTCCATGTCGGCTGTGCCGTGGGTTCCGCTGCACTCAGAGATGCCAGGCAGGCGGCGCCGCAGCCGCCCGCAAGCTCAACAACGACAGTTCTCGTCTCTGGGGCGCGCGCCCCCGCCCTGCGCTGCCTTTATAGTCAACCCGCGCCGGGTCCTTGCCGATGGACCCCTGTGTGGCTGCCGCCCGTTGGCTGAGGCAGAAGCCACTGCCCCGACGTGGCCCAATCGGAGGCCGGATCGGTGGGCGGAGGGGCGGGCCGAGCACGTGGGCGCGGCTGATGCAACCCGCGGTGGTTGCGTCACCCACCGTGGCGGCTGCAGCCCTAACTCGGGGTTCGGTGACCCTTCCTTGGTGCGCTGCAGTCCGCTGGACCCTAGGCAGTCCGACTGCCTAGGTCCAGGAGCTCAGGGCGCCTTAGGCTCGGCCGTGCCCGCCGACTCCCAGTCTGGCAGCCTCTGCAAATTGTTCCCTCACAAAGCAGCGCCCTGGCGTCAAGTCCTGCTTCCCCTTTCTGGTCCCCGAGAGGGACAGAGAGGGTCAAGCGGGACCTGCAGCCTGATCTTGCAAGGAGGCTGCCCCACCTCTACCCTGTTTGCGAGCCCACACAGAAGGCTGCGCCCAGGCCCACTGGGCAAGGAAGAAGCTGTGCACTTCTTCCTGGGACTGAGGGGATGGAGGCATCTGATCCAAAGGTGCCAGTTTATCTGTGGTCTTGGATTTGAACGTTACACCCTTGACGTCACCCTATGAATGGCAAACAGGCCACAGTCCAGCTAGCCCACGGAGACACTGGGAAAAGGCCCCATGTTCCAGGCTGCTCAGGGGCGCTTCCTTCAAACTGGGGCTGAGACAAGGAAGGCAGGATTCTCACAACTTAAACAAATGTGACCCCAAAGGCCTCTCTGAAGCAGGCCCTTCCTGTCTCCCTTCGGAAGGAAAAAAGGTCTTGAAAACCAGAACTGACAGTGCGCCAGCCCAATCCGTGTTCCAGTCCCGTTGGGACATCTGTTTTTTAGGGGTGTGTCAGGAGCTTGGCGGGGGCAGGATGGTAACCGGAGGAGTTTGCAAACAGGGTGGCTTTGTTACCAAACAGCATTTGGGGTCCCACAGCCCACCACTACCCTCTAGGCAAACTTCAGAGGCAAAGGTTTGCTGATAAAAGGAGTCTATGCAAAATTGCAGCAATATGGAAGCAGCCCAAGGGTCCATCAATAGATGAGTGAATAAAACAATTATGGGACAATGACATACTGGAATTGTACTCGGCCGTGAAAAAGAAGACAATTTTACCTTTTGTGACAGTACGGATAGACCTGGAGAACATTATGCTAAGTGAAAGAAGCCAGTCAGAGAAAGACAAGACCCATATGGTTTCACTTATATGTGGAATCTAATGAACCAAACTAACAAGCAAAACAGACTCATAGATGGAGAACAGATGACAGCTGGTGTGGGTGGGGGTGGTTAAGGGGAGGAGGGATTGAGCAAAAAGGAAAAAGGACTCATGGACATGGACAGCAGTAGGGTGATTGTGAGGTGAAGGGGGATATAAGGTGACTAAATGGTTGGAAAAACAATAAAGTAAATAAAAATATTTTCTAAAATCTTCCCAAGTTTAGAATAATAGCTTTCCGCTGCATTAGTCACTTAAGCCCATCAATTAAGGCTAAACTACCTCTTTTTTTGGTAAGATTTTATCTATTTCTCTTTAGAGGGGAAGGGAAGGAGAGAGGGAGAGAAATATCAATGTGTGGTTGCCTTTCCTGGGTCCTCTGCTAGGAACTGGCCTGCGATCTAGGCACGGGCCCTGACTGGGAATTGAACTGAAATTCTTTGGTTCGCAGGCCCACGCTCAATCCACTGAGCTACACCAGCCAGGGTAAGGCTAAACTAGCTTTTCAGTTATAGCTTTAATCACTTAAGCCTATCAATTAAGGCTAAACTCTAACACCTGAGTTTTATTGCACCCCTGTTAGTTTTAATTATCTTATTTCTATAGGCTTAGTTTACAAACTAAAACAACATTAAGACACAAAAGCTGCACAGTTTCGGAGGAACGAGAAACTTCTGCCTCGGGGCCCATCCCCTCTGGAACACCCAAAGAATAACTCTGCTGCCCTCGGCCAGGCCTAACCCTGGGCTGCCCCTGACATTCCTTCCCATCCAAAATACTGTCTGTTGGGAAACGCAGGCAGCTGTGCACGATCATCTGGGCATCCTTGGGGAAGAAGAGAGCCACCCTCTTTTTATTTCTGTGCACTTGGGAGGCACTCGGCTTCTCAGTCACCTGGTCCTACCTAGACTGTTCACCATTGTCCCCTGAGGCCCCTCCCTACGTTCCCCCTGTGGTCTGATCAGATCTCTCTGTATCAGCCAGTAGGACCGAAATTTGCTGTTTCACAGTACCAGGGGCTAGAAGTCTGAGATCGAGATTTGGAGCAAGGCCGGGTCCTTCTAAGGGCCACGAGGAAGAGTCTTCAGGCCTCTGTTCCCATTTAGCATCTGGAGGTTTGCTGGCCATCTTTGGGTTGCCCCCCTGTGCCTTTGTGGTCATGGAGCTTTCTCCCTGTGTGTGTCCCTCTGTGCAGTCCGAGTCCCAGTTTCCTCCCTTTTTATTAGGACACTGGTCATATTGGATTAGGGCCCACTGTAATGACCTCATCTTCCTTTATTTTTTGCTTTGACTTTTATTACTATTTATTTTATGCTGCATTTACCCCCAGGCCATCTTCTGGGGTGTCTTTTTCTTTTGTGCAACCTCTTCTGGTTTGAGAACAATCTGCTCTTTTCCAGTAGGATCCTCTCAGTGTGGCAGGGAGAACTCACGTGTGGGTTAATCCGCCGTGAGCTCTGTACCTTTTGTGCTGCATCTCAGGACCTTCGTTCACCTGGATGTGGTCAGTGACCGGGGAATCTACATCTAAACCCTTAAGTTCAACATCGCTCTCTGCATTTTTAAGCCTGGGCAGCAAAAACTCAGCACTTTTTTTGGGAGGGGGCCACCGACCCAACTCCACCATCGTAACAACAAGAACGCCACCTGTTGCTCCTATAAAATGACAGCCCGCAGGTACTTGGTGGCCTTTTGAATATGCATACCCTTAACGATCCAGGCAGTTTCACGAGTCTTCTTAAAGTGAACACGAAGATTTTTGAATCATGCTCTTGGTTTGCATGATTTGGAGGGTTTTCTGGGTCAAGCAACAAGCGAACCATTTTCAGAGGTCACCTCTGGCCACTTTTGGAAAGAGCTCATCTTAATTTGATCACTCCCAAATACCAGCCCATGCATGGGTAGTGGGGTTAGAACTTAAAGCATCCTTTTGGAGGTCATGATTCAAACCATAACAGTTGGCCTCACGATAACACAGAACCTGAGGCGGTTTATTTTTGAGGTGTCCTTACATTAAAAAAGGAGGTAGCGGCTTTGGAGGGCAATCGTCCCTGTGCTTGGCTTTCTGGGACTGCTGTTTTGTCGGTGCAGAAAAGCTGGCTCCAGGGCCACAGCCCCTACCTTGGTTTAACACGCTGCTGCCACCGTGAAAATGCCGAATGACTTCTGAACAAGAAGCCCTGTGCTCTCCCTTCTCACTGGGTCCCGAAAATGACTTTCCTACATCAGGATGACAGAAAATGACTGATTATGATCGGGTAGTCTTGCCACCAGCTAGACACTGACCGACGGGCCAGGCCAGATAAAACAAGCCGGAGGCCTTGGGGGGGAGCAGCCAGGCAGGACACAACAGGTCCATTGGGAAATTAAGGATGGCACATAGCCCCTGTCCTCTAGCCTGAGGTGACAAGCACCAGGGCCCCCTACCCACACCACTTCCACTTGGTATGAAGAACGAGAGGGGAGTTTTCCCCCAAGGGAAGAGGCACTCCACTGTCTGTATCTCCTGTGGGGTTGTGTCCCGGGGAGCCAGCCTCAGGGAAAGGTCTCTGGTGGTTTTGCCTGGAGCATCTTTAGAACAAACACTAAATTCAAGTCAATAAACATGCCAGGAATAGCAGGATACACAGGAGTGACCCCAGTCTCAGTGACCTTACAAAAATAATGGGGATGATAAGACTGCACAGAAATACAGAAAGAAAAGTCAACCCAAAGTCTCCTACATTTCTGAAGGACTCGGCAGTACATGAACGGATTTTACTGAGGGGCAGAGAAGAGGGGAGCTAGAGAAAACTTGGAGGAAGAGGTAGCAAGAAGAGGAAGGATGAAATTTGAATAAAAACAATGGTGACAATCACGGGTAAGCCCCACAGGGAACCTGTATACAGAACTTGCTTGGGCAAATATAGCTCCAGTGGTTAAGTTCATGGGCCCAGGGCCAGGTGGCCTGTTTTCACACTCAGCCTTTGCCACTTCAGAGCTATGTGACCTTAAACAAGTTACTTAACCCCTCTGTACCCAACTTTCTCGTCTTTAAAATAGGAAGGAAGAGAATAGTATCAATTTCAGAAGGCTGTTGTGAGGCTGAAATGGCAGAACATTGTTAAAATTTGGGGGATGGGTCCAGACCCGGAGCAAGGGCTCAGGGAATGTTAATGGTGACTGTTTATCGAACTATGAGTCTGGCCCCGGGAGATCTTGAACCGGCTCTGAAGCCTAATCCCTGAGGAACTCTTTTTTTTTTTTTTTTTTTAAGAGAATTTCTGCAATACCAAGTACTGGCCAAGACTCAGAGACACCCGAACTCTCCTCTGTGGCCAGTAGGAGTGCCAGATGGGACACCCCCGTGGAAGTCATCTTGCGCTGGAGATGTCAAGGGGTGTGGCCGGTCAAGGCTGACCACTGGGCCGGCAATGGTGCACTTTCAGACTCAGCCCTTAAGCGATAATAGAATGTGCCCAGGGATCATTTACTCGGTAAGTTAGACACAGAGTGACCATATGACCCAGCAAGTCCGCTCCCAGGTGTAGATCTGAAAGAATTGAAAATGGGCGTTTGAGCAGACACTTGTCCATAAATATTCACAGCGGCACTATTCACGAGCCAAAAGGTGGAAACGACTCAAACGTCCAGCAGCCAGTGAACGGGTAAACACACGTGGTACCTCTAACGCCATACAGTATCATACAGCCTTGGGAAGGAATGAAGCAGCGATACCTGCTACAACGTGGATGGTCCTTGAAATGATGGCCAGTGAAGGAAGGCAGACCCAGAGGCCACATAGCGCATGATTCTACCTACAGGAAATGTCCAGAACCGGCAAATCCACGGGGACAGAAAGCAGATTAGTGGTTGCCAGGGGCCAGTGGGGAGTGATTGCCTAACACCCTGGGATTTCCTCTGGGGATGACGAACATGTTCTGGAGCTGAATAACGGTGATGGTTGCACACCACCGCGAGTATACTGAATTATATACTTTAAAAGAGGTAAATATTTAAAAAATATATGTTTCAAAACCTACCTGGTTCTTTGTGTTCTATTGAATGTTATTTTCCAGCCTTCCCTCTGATGGAAAGAGGAACCCAAATAAAATAACCACCACCACACAATAAACCCTTCCAAATACCCCAAAAAGGGGCCTGGACCCTGGACGGGGTGGGTGGGCGGTGGCTGCCTGGTTTGAGGAACTCACAGAGGAAATGCCTCACTTGGTCTGGGATTGCAGGGGCAGCCCACTGCAGGTTCAGGACGCTCCCTGGCTGCCTGGGTTTGGCTCCAGGGCAAAAATGACCCTGCTCTCCAGGCCTGCATCCTGGGAAAGGTCATGGCTGGACACTGAGGCCCAGGAAAGCTCAGAAGCCCACATTTCCTGTCCCATCCTAGCTACCTGCACCCCCTTTTCTGATTGCAGCCCAGCATTTTACTCTAAAGAGAAAAGAAAAACAACTCATTTGTTTTAATATTCATAGCATCTCTTCATGAGCGAATACTCTTCCCTGTACTGTAAAGGGAATTTTGATTGTTAGTTTCTTTTCCTTCTTCCCTAGCAAAACCCCCAGTGTCCCCAAGGTGGTTTCCGACTAGACGTGGCACTCGGGCAAAGAGGCAGAAGACTGCAGAAATCATTGACAGGTACAGCCTTGTTAGTGGTGGGACTTGATCTCCTCCGTGACGTTAATTCTGCCTGCTCGGCCCTCCTGTTCAACTCTGGGTGAGTTTTCCTCTCTCCCAGACCACTCCACTGCCCTCTCCAACCCTCCCGTCTTCGGACCTGGCCCAGCCAGCCTTTCCCATGCCAGGTTACCTCAATCCCCACATCTTCAGGAGTCACCCCAGGTCTGGCTCCTGGTGCACAGGCACGTACCCTGCTTCCCAAAACCTCCGCACAATTCACCAACCCCACTTGTCTCCAAGACTGGACCCTTGAGCATCCCCTGTGTCATTCTGTGACTCTGGCATGAAAAACACTGTCTTTCATCCATGCAAGACTCTGCAGGCTGGCCACCCTGCCAGGTGGCTCTTCTCCAGGCTCTGCCCACACGGCATTTTTGGAAACAGAATTTGTCGTGGTTCCTTTTCAAGCAAGACACTCATGTCATGCTTTGGCGTTCAGTCACAGAACTAACTCACGTCGAAGGGGGAGGTAGTTACCCGTGAAGCCTCTGGCTGGGCTTTCCTGGGCCCCGTTTCCATGAACACTATTAAAGCTGGCAGCTTTTTTTTCTTCCTGACACCCTGAGCTGTATACAGCTACAAGTGAAACCTGGCTGTTTTGCATGTGTTTGGGGGCCACCCCGCCAGGTGGTTGTTCTGGAACACTCCAGCTGGTCTCATCTCTGTGAAACGCCCCTCTCCCTGGCCACCAGAGGAAGGTATGTCAAAAAACAAACAAACAAAAAAACCCAGTCCAAATGGGGCTCTGCTCAGGCTAATGCAGCCACAGACAGCTCTCTCTGCCTTGGAGGTAGAGCTCAGAGAGCCTATTGGATGAAAAGTGGGTTGTATTGTGGTTTCCTTAAAGCCAAGATGGGTTGGGGCAGAAACTGAAGGAGAAGAGGAAATAGGAAGGGGAAATTGGATGCTAACCGGGCGGGGGACCCCGGGGGCCGGGTGGGGTGAGATAAGTGAGGAGCCCCTGCTGTGGGGCCTGGGGCGTCTGTGGCCTGGGCCCCCCCCCCCCCCCGCCCCTCCACCCCGATGACCCGCCTCTCTGAGGGTCAGGTTTTCCAAGCACAGATCAATGGGAGAACAACACAGAAAATACTTCCCACCGCTAGGACTTACCAACACGGAGCATTTGATCGTCCAAGGGCACAGACAGCCATGCTGTAGACTGAAATCTCTGAACTTCCCAGTGCCCAAGAGGCCCAACCACGATTTGGAGAGCCTTCAAGAGCCCCCAACCCCCCCACCCCACGTCACTCAGCAGGAAAGAAGGAAGTGGTGAGCCACGGGGTAGCAGGACCGAAGAATGTGGTCTCCATCCCACCCCCCAGCAGCTGCAACACCGATCAACCACAGGTGGGCCCGACCAGCTGGCCAGGGATGCCGGCTCTGGTCCAGCTCTCCCACTGCACGGACTGCGGCCCAGAGAGAGGAAGGGGCGTTATCGAGCTCACACAGTCGTTCGGGGGGGGGAGATGGAAACTCAAATCCAGCTCTGCCGGTGGCCAACCTGTGGCTCTTCCCACTCCACCTCTCCACCCCTTGGTTTGAGGCAAGACTAAAAATCCCCAGAGACCTATAAAAATGTAATAAAATGCAGTGCCCTAGAGTCTGCAGACACGTACAAGAGAAGCAGAGGGAAATAAGTGTCTTCATGAAATCCGCATGTAGCAAGCTGGCCATGTGACCTCTAGGCCCTGTGATAGCTTAGAGAAAAGTTCAGTCTGAGGTTGAAAAAGCAATCCACTTCAGAGTTTTTTTCAAAATGCTTGGCAGAGCTGAAAAACAGCATGTTCCAAAACAAGTAAGTCCTATTGCCTAACGGAATGTATTTTTATTCATTTTATTGTTTTGACCTCTCTGCTCACTCGAGGCTATTCCCCCCCTCCACCAAAGCTATCATCATCGTTACAAACTCAGTTTTCCAACATAGCAAAAGTTTGTTTTTTGTTTTAAGTGCCAGGAGCCAAAGCATTTTCTGGTCCTGGATCAGAGTCTCCCTGAGGTCAGGAGAGGGATCCCCCCTTTGCCAGGACATGGTTTTCCATGAGGCTCTAGAAAGGCAAGCATTCCCTGGTTGAAGCTTCCCCTTACGTGGAGCTGGGGGGCAGGGCTATTGGTCCCAGGCCCACTGAACGGCTCCAAGGCAGGCACCCTTCTGAGGTCCCCAGGTCCTCAAGCAGGAGAGGTGCTGTCCACTGTCCACACAGCAGGGCATCCTGGTGAGCAAAAGGCCTGGGAGACCAGAGCCTTTGTTCTCTGCAGTGACATGACATACTACGTCCTTTTGAGACAGGATAGTGAGAACCTAGGAAAATTTCTTGGCAAGTGAAATAGGGGACAGATGGCTGAATGCAACAGCCTTGAAAATTACAGCCAGATGCAGAAGGTCACCTCCCTAGAGATGGCATCTAGGCCTCACCTGTATTGCAGCTCCAGGCCTAGAAAAGCAGTAAAACCAGGTGAGCAACACCGGGACCAGCTGCAGTGATAACGGCCCCCTGCCTGGGTACTGACCAATCAGAGGAGACCACGGCTCTGAAAGGACGCACCTGGAGAACCGATGGGTATTCTGCTGAGACCCTCCCCTGAGATTCCTGCCTGCAAGAGATAAAAGCCTCAACACAAAGGCCCCAGCACACACGCCATTCCCTCCTTTTTCCTCCACTTCTTTCAACCCAGGCGGGCGTCTCCTAAACTCTCAGGCAATGGGCAGCTGGCAGCTTGTCCCTGGCTACTCCCCTGAACCTGTCCCCAAGGCCGCCTTTTCTCTCTGACTTCCCAGTGAGCTAAGGCAGCCCAGCCTCAGCTCTCCTGGGGCATCCTCTATGCCAGGCCTTTCCTTGTTTCGCTGTCTGCAGCTTTAATAAATCGATCCTCACAGTCACCTGGACTCGTGTTGTGAAATCTTTTCTATGCAAAGTCAAGAACCCACACACAACAGCTGGCCCTGGGCAGACCTGCTCAGGGCCGGGCCCCTGACTGCTAACACTTTGGGTCCAAACACTAAGAAAGAGATTTTTGCCTTCATTGCTATGTAGGTGCTTCAGTGGGCTTGGAGGGCGCCCACGAGACCCCAAGATGCCTCATTCCTTCCCCTGCACCCCCTACTCCATGCTGCTGGAAAAGACGTAGCCCACCAAGTCCACCAAAGCTCACTTTATGCTGTGTACATGCGTCTAGAGCTGAAATGCCCTTTCAGGGAACCTCACCCACCAGTACTGGGCATCTCCCAATGTTCGATCTGCTCTTGTATCCAAGGTCGGCTGGTGCAGGCATTCTGGGGGTGTTCAGTCCTCGGGAACCCGAATACCCTTGCATGAATGAGGTCCATCGTCCCCCAGGTTCTCAACTCCGACCCCCATCCTAAGACCGCCCACACCACCACTTGCTCTTTTACCCGTGGCTCCTCGTCCCCTGCCCTTTCACCGGCCTTGGGCTGAGTGCGCACCTCTCTGATCCTTCGCTCACTCCTGTCGTCTTTACACACACCCAGGCCTCTGCTTCTCCATCCCTGACCTTCACCATGCCTGCACCCCTCACCATGCCTGCACCCCTCACCAAACCTCCATCCCCCGCCCCCAGCCAAACCTGAACTGAACACCTTCCACAAAGACTCCTTAAATCTTGCCCCTCCTTTGAAGCTCTTTCTTGACACACACACTGTCACTGTCGATAACCCTCTGGAGTGCCGTTTGTGAGTTCTCCTCCTTTCCTCGCTGCGGGATGAGGAGGGTGATGTTAGGCCCATCATGACCTTTCTCACGTGTTTTTCACACCATGGGCCACCACCCATTGGTGGGTTTCAAACTCATTTTAGTGGATCACAACCGACGTTCCAAGGAGAAAAAGAATCAGAATAGCGAATGAATCGAAGCGCACCCCCTTATAGGAAGGGTAGGTATTGTTTTGTTTCACCGTGTGCTTCTTCCACGTCTCAATGTAAAATATATTTCTTACTGTGGGCTGCAGCCCCCCAAAGTTTGGAAATCCTTGGTCTACCAGAGAAGCAGTCAAAACACTGAAGACACATTGTTACTGAACGTGGAGAGACTGAGAGGTGGGTAAAGAAATCTGCATTATCAGAGGCTCCAGGGGCCCTCATTCCTCCCGTAAGGGCTACAGGCGTGTGTATGTGGGGCACCCCCTCTCTGAACTTGGCGGGGGCGGGCATGGTCAGGGAGGATTCCCAGGAAATGTTTGGAGAAATGGCCAAGGCGCACACCCAGCGCTCTGACGCAAGCTTGTCTACCAATCAGACTGAGATCTTCATTTGTTATAATCGAAATCAAAAGCACTTAAAAGGGCTATGGATCCATCAGAAAACTTTCCACCCAACCTCCAATGCTGCTTCTCCAGCCCAGAGGACATGTCTGACGGGAGGGGGGTCCAGCCAAAGTTTGGAAATCTGCCGGCTTCTGCAGTTGGGTCATCAGAGGCTACTGCTTAGAATGTGACAGCGCGTGAGTCTCCTCCCCGTGGAGAGGTGGCTGTCCCACGCACCCTCAGCCTTGGGCAGGCCTGGACGAGCTTGGCGTTACTGGCAGTAAAAGGTGAGCACGTTTTCCTGGTTTCCTCGGATCAGGATGACGGGAGGGCTGAGGTCCTGGGACAGCGTCTCCAGCCAGGCCATGTACAGTGAACTTGGGCACTTCCCCTTCCTGCCTATGGGCAAAGTGCTGCAAGACAGGAAGAAAGGCAGATGAGAAATTACCCAGGGGCCCTCTGCATGCAGCCCAGCTCCTGGTTTGCTTTCTGAACAGCAACTCTGCCTAGTGACCCCTTCAGAGCTGCTTCTTCCCAGCCACCCTTAGAGCAACCCCCGACTCTCCTTAAAAGCATGACTCCAAATGGACCTTCAGCCACAGAGCACTTCTGAACACAGCCATGGTCTGCAAGGCTCCCATGATCTGGTCCCCGCCAGCACCCCCCAGCCTTACCTCCCACCACCCTCAGCCTTGCTCACAGCCCTGCAGCCACAGTGGCTTTCTTACTGTCCCTAAGAAAAAAAAAGGCAAGCTTGCTCCTGCCCCAGGGCCTTTGCACCTGATGCTCTCTCCACCCAGAAGGCAGAGTCCCCTGCTCCTGACCTAGTTGGCTCCTTTGAATCATTCAGATCCTGGCTCATGTGCACCTCCCCCTCTGGTCACCCCTCCAGAGCAGGCCCCCACCTCTCCACCGTATCGTCCTGTGCCACTGTCTTCTCACACAGTCCGAACCCTCTTTCCGTCTGTTTGCTGTTTGTCCTCCCCCTGCTAGAATGCTCATATGCTCACTCTCGAGCAGGCTGGGTCCGTCTTACTCATGACCCTTCTTCCTGTTCCTAGAACACGGTCTGACGCAAGTGGGATGTTAAGTGGGTGACCCCACCCATTGGGCTACTTGAATCAAGTCAGCCTTGCTCCTCCAGCCACACAGTTGCCTGTGCCCACCATGTGACAGGCTTAGTTGAGTGTCCTTGTCCGGCCTCCTGCCCTGTCCAGAAGGCCCTGGGAGCAGGTCTCCGCCCTTGCCTTGGGAGGGCCCCTTGTTTGAACTGCAGTGCTGTGCAAACAGCAAGCTGCGCCTCGGAGGCTGTTCGGCCCAATTTTCAGGGCTGTTTCAGGCAGTGGCTTCTTCACAGTCTTGAGATTCTGCAAACGCATCACGGTGACCCCAGCTGGCCCGCTCTTGGCTCTGGAAGAAGCCAGCCTCTCACAGAGCCAGACGGGGTCACAGGAAGTCGGGGCCCCAGCACCTGATGTGGCACTGTGCCATGTCATTTCATGGGTCATATCATTTCATCCAAACCTCAAAACAACTCTGGGGAAAGGGCAGGGCCCGCGGCACCGCCCTCTCCCACGTTGGGCCTTGCGACAGAGAAGGTGTCTGGGTTGTGGCCTCGCCACTTCCTCAGCCACGTGGCTTTTGCAGACGGCTCACTGTCCCTGAGCCCCGCTTTTCCCTTCCTGAGAATGTGGACTCACACGACCCCCTGCCAGGGTGTCGGGCGTTCAGAAGAAAACAAGCACACCCAGGGCCACCGAGCAAGCGTTGAGTCACATCAGCAGCTGTTCTGATCGCTTCTCATTATTTACCAGCGTGAGGTGGCCCAGCCTGTGAGTGGCAGAGCTGGGACCTGATCCAGGTCTTGGGCTTGCCCACGCCAGCTGCCTCTGCTTACTGCAACCCCGTCTTCTGCTGACGAGGCAAATGGAGGTCCCAACACAGCTGCCCCTTATTTCAAACCCCACCCTCAAGCCTTCATTTAGAACAACACTCCCCTCTTTTTAAAAGCAAAGTCCCCAGGATGAGGGGTGGCAGGTGGGAGCAAGGACATTTCGTTAACCGAGTGTCACCTTAGTTAGAATGAATCTGTGTCCAATGACTCTCCAGGGAAAGGGAACTGGCATGTCGAGAATGGTCTTCCTGATTGAACAGGGACACCAAGGGCTGCAAATGCCCTCTGGGAACTATTGCGTCATTCTCAGGTGCTGCTTCCAAGGCCACGAGGGACTGGCAGCTACATCATCAGGGCGGGGGCCACCCATCACTCCTGCTGTGGCCTCTCAGGCAGACCCTGTCCGCCCCAGGGAGGGACAGGCTTCCTCTGGGCTCAGCCCAGTGCCAGGCGCCGACACCGTATTCCTGCTCACCGGGCGTGTGTGCTTTAAGCTGCTTATCTTTAGAAATAAAGCCACTTCGGCACAAGGGACTTTTTGTTCAGAACTGCATCTCTGAGTCACAGAGAGAGGCTGCCTTGGAGCTAACCTAGATGCAAAGCAGTAACCCTGTGTCAAAAACAGAACTGTGCCAGGACTTCAAAACTAACGCCGGCCTCCCCTCAGTGAGGTCCCCGGGCAAGTGGCTGAACGCCTCTAGGGCTCGGTTTCCTCATCTCCAAACTGTGTGTGTGTGTGTGTGTGTGTGTGTGTAGATTTGGAAGTTAATAAGGCCCAATACCTTCAGTGCCAGGTTCAATCAATAAAGTGCAGTGTTGATCGTTACTATTCGGTTTTGAGGAGGAAGTCTTCGTAGAAAAGGGGGGGGGCTCTAGACCCCAGAGTTAGACCAGAGACAAGGTGGTTAACCCAGGCTGCTGAGCTGGTTACAAGCCTGGTTTATCGGCAGTGCTGGTGAAGCTGAACTTAACCAGATAAACTGCTGGTTTGCAGGCCCTAAACAAGCAAATCCTGCCTCAGACCTGCTCCAGAAAATGGTCCCATGTGCTCTGAAAATGCTGGAAAATGTGATTTTGTCCTTCTACCAAGGTGTGGGAAGATTTGGGGTTCCTCAGAATTTCTGGGGAATGTGGGTCTCTGGATTCCACCCCAGACCCTGATCTGGAAGGAATGGAGGAATTTGTCATTTTCGACAGGCTCCTGGCGGCTGTGCCGAAGGTGACCCCCAGAATGAACTTATAGAGGGACATCGGGCTGGAAATTAGTAACACAAAACGCAGCTACACGCCCGCCCAGAAGAGCCGGCCCGACGGCCAACAGCCGGGCCCTTGGAGCAACAGCTGTCAGCTGCCACCTGGGGTGGGACACCGTGTGCCAGCGGCTCTTCTAAGGCGACTGGACTCAATGTTGTCTGTGCCGGCTGACCCACAAAGGCTGGGGGGGCGGGGGACTGGCTTCCCCTATGAGACCTGGAGGTGGGAGGGAGAGGGGCCGGCAGGTGGTTGCCTCCCACCTGCTGAGAGCCTGGGTCATTTTAGTGCCAAATAAACTTAGAACTGTGACACGTTAGAGTGAAAGGGCATCTTGAAAAGCACTTAGTCTAACTGTTGTCTATAACCAGGGAAACTGAGGCTCGAGAAGTAGGGCTGGTGCCCACGGCTGCACAGTGAGCTATGTGCAGAGATGAAAGGCAAGCCGGCCTCCCTGAACAGAG